CTCTTCTTTATTCTTGCAGACTTCTTACCAAGGTACCAAATGTAATTTCCTCTTCTCTTCTGAGCCACCCAGACGAAAGCACGACTCCTACGCTCAAGTCCATCGGTAAAATGCCGACTGTATGGAATAGAATGGTAATGTGCTTAAAACTGACTGGGTAAGGGTTACCCGCCCCGCCATTGAAAGTGATCTCATACGCCACCCCGCTAGGCGCGCCTCCGCCTTATCCAGGATGCGAGTATGTAGCTTTGGTTATTCAGCCATGAAGAATAGGCACTCCAAGGTATTTACCCAGATAGTCCGTCCACTTGAAATTTAGGGTCTGTCAACCTATGTTGTTCATCTATCTCCACATTATCAGAAAAAAGGACTCGCGTCTTTTCTGAGCTAATTTTCAGTCCCGAATTAGTGCAAAAAAGATCGAGGACTTGCTTCAGGATCACCATCTGCTCATTCGATGCTTCCAAGAAAAGGAGAAGATCATCCGCGAACATCAAAAAAGGCGAGTGTCCCTCTCCCAACTGAAATCGAACTCCATGCGTGTCCTTCAACCGTATTGTCTCTGAAAAAACAAAATCTATCATTATATTAAAAGATTAACCATTTAACACTTTTAGCAAGTTTTTCCCGCCAAATACATTTAATATCTCCAAAAAATAGAGCAGCATTAAATGTTGTCCTTAAATCATGGCAGTTGTTAATTTAGTTTGGAGAAAATCGTGGCAACTAAAACAAACAACATTAATTACGGCTGATTTAATATTTAAATGGTAAACAAATATTACTTTTTTATAACTAATTTAAATTTACGTCTGTTTAAAAGTAAAAAATTATTTTTGTAATTTCAACAAATTTGTACTCTTTAATACACGGCTAATTTAAAATTAAGAATTTACTTTTGTATTTTCACAAAAAATCGTATAAAGAAGTATGGCTGGAATAATAATAAAAAATTAATTTGTTAAACCATGTTTTGCACTCATAGATACGAATTCTCATCAAATTCAAGATTTAAAATTGTGAAGAATGTATATATATGTGGACTGATTGAAGATATATGATTCCTTAAATTAAGGAATTTTTTCCAGTAAAAAAAAAATATAAACTTTGAATATAGATTTTATTAGTAGTGTATACCAAAGAATATTGTTACATTTAAAATTCATATGAAGAAGAATTCTATTAATTTTCAAATTCAACATCTCATACAAATAATATAATACACTTTTACATTCTATGAAACAATATTTAAAACCCACCGTTCAACATGCATAAAATGTAAAATTACCTAACATGAATCATTTTAACTTTCTAAAATCAGTACACAATTTGCTCGGTATGTACTAATAGTCTAATAGTTAAGAGTTAATATTTGCTATGACATCTATTGGTTGGAAAGAATTCCATTTTGTATGGAATTCGAAATGAAAAAAACATATTCTGAAAATCAAATCTGGTTTAGAGATCGATTTCTTAATGGCCTTAAATTATGCAAATATATTGTTTCAGTTTTTAGGATTCTTTTTTATTATCTCAGTCTTTGCATTATATGAAATCTATACTTATATAAAAAGTCATCCTATTTACTAGAAATAGTAGAGAGAAAAGTCAAAGGTAATTAATGCTTGCTGGAAATAGAATGATATTAATTACAGATTTGTTTTGGTATTTATAGGCTTGACATTAAAGATTTGTTATGGGATAAAAATCAGAACCGATTTTTTTTACCTTTGTTGGAAAAGTCAAAGGTAAGTATAGATTTGTTTTATCCCATAGCATCGGTTTAGTTAAGAAAATCCCATCAAATGAGTTTTATATGTCAAGCCTACGAATAAAGATTTAATCGGTCAAAATTAAATCTTTATTTTACGTCACCCATAAATAAAGTAGATGTCAAGCCTAAATTGAAGGGTTTAAATGTCTATATAGTCATTGATTTACGTAAATATATCTAATGTTTAAATGTTGTGTAGATTGAAAATTCCTTCTTATCATTTTACAAAAAATCTTATTATTATTGTATGGAAAATCAAACTCATAATGTTGTGTACAAGGTGGTTTTTAATAATATATGATTGTTTGTTTGTCGAATACTATCTTATTGTATAATTTTCCTGCGTATTATAAAACTTTTATTGAATATTGCATCTTATAATATAGTATTTCTTAAATAAATATATCTCGTGCCTCGCACGGGTCACGTACTATATATATCGCGTACATTTTTCTATATTCATGTATATAATTATAAGTCTGGATAAATAGCCTTAAAATTGTGCACCCCGTGCATAGCACGAGCTCTATACTAGTATTAGTTAACAAAATAAACCAAATTAAAATATTCGAGTATCAAAATTGAAATAATGTCGAGGTACTCGATTGAATATTTCCTATTTATTATTATTATTATATTATTATTATTATTATTATTATTATTATTTCCATCTCTCTGTTTATTTTTTCTCAGCATCGGCACCGTGTGAGCCCTCGTGAGGCCTTCTTTCCCAAATTCTCCATTTCTCTAGCAGTTCAAGAAAACCCTAAACGATCAACACTGCGAAGAAGAAATTCTGTTAGATCGAATCAAATCGAGCTGAAAAAATGGCAATGGCTGCACTCAGACGTGAGGGAAGGCGAATGGCCGCCCCTCTAATGACCCCGCGCCCGTTCAACCCTATCAGCTCCTCCAAGGCTTCTTCTGAGTAAGATATGATCCTTCCTTCTCGTATTTTGTGTTGTGTCATGATCTTTTGTCGGAGTTTTTTTCTGTTTCGATTGTATTTGCTCGTCCTTCGATTAGACTCTTGTGAAACCCAGTTTTTGTTTTCAGTTTGTTGTTTGTGTTTTGATTGGAAACTCGAATCGGTGAAGGGTTTTGTCTATCCGTATACCCCGTCATTCATTTTATTGGACTTTTGATGTATTTTCTTATATTTGTTTGCCGGGGGCATGTGGCATTTCAGGTATGATCTCATTAAAGGCGATAATGCCATTGTTTGAATTTATTTGAATTGTTATTGAGGTTAAAAGATGTTGGTTGAGCTAGTTGAGCTTCAAATTCATCAGATGAAATTATGGGATTAAAAATGGTGTCATGGGTTTGCTAAATCAGCATGTAAAAATGGGTATTCAAAATGAAGTGGTTACGATTATTTGTTAATGACTTAATGTATAATATATTAGTCGTAAATGAGGATGAGTTAAGGTGACTTAATACTGTTCGGTCACTTTGTATGCATGTACTAATAGATAAAGGTATATTTGTAAAAATTGGAGAATGAAGGGTATATCTGCGTTGGAGGGGATCTCAACAGCTAGGTGGGTGGTAGTGTGATAGACGAAAAGATAAGTAGAAAAGCATAATGCATTTGGATAAGTATTGCCATGAGTAAGAAATTTTGCTTGTATCATTATGAGAAGCAAGTTCCTCAATTCATTTTCTTGTTGAACTATTCAAAAGAAATATTCGACTTTTAAATATGAAAGAGTTCTCCTTCTGTAACTCAACAAATTGATCAAATATCATTTGTATCCTTGAGTTATTTTCTGGTGTATTAAATATCTGTAGTCCTTGTGCATTTCTGTAAACGGTTGTGATTTTCTTTGTCATGCTTGTTTATCGTTGTCTGCCTCTAAAAGTTTACTTCATGTCAACAGGGAGTATGCTGTTTCTGGAGTTCGCTCCATTTCAACTCAAGTTGGTAAGATATATTCCTAATATATTACGGACTTACTTTTCTATTATTTGCTTTACCCTGTCATTTTCGTTATCTTGTTGTGCTTATTCTAAAAGTAAATTTTTAAAAAGTAAACTTTTATTCTAATGCTCGAAACATGCAGTCCGCAATCGTATGAAGAGTGTCCGGAATATTCAGAAAATCACAAAGGCAATGAAGATGGTTGCAGCTTCAAAGCTCCGAGCCATCCAAACAAAAGCTGAAAATTCACGTGGACTATGGCAGCCTTTCACTGCTCTTCTTGGTGACACTCCAAGTGAGTTGATGGTTAAATTGTATCTCACTTTATTTAATTCCTTCCATTTAGTTACTGGAAGATTTGCTCTTGTAAGTTACAGGTTATTCTAACAATGATTGATTTGATATTTTGATCCATTTGAACCATGCATCCGCACATCATATGTATATTTTTAATGACTTACCATCTGTTAGTTGACTCAGGGTGGCATCCAAACTTTTCTGCGTGGGGTGAGGTAAATGGTAGAAATTCAATCTTTCGAAACAAATTCGTAACTGGGAGCATGAATACCTCTTCTTTATGTTAAAACTGCACAGGAAACTCCAGAAGTAGCCGTGACTCATTTTCTTTAATAATAATTTCTTAAGCAAAAATTATATCATGTAATCTTCTTGTCTTCATTATACTGGAGGTTTGAGGCTGACTATTTTGAAGTTTATTATATAATATTGTGCATATTGTAACATTGTTGCCCCAAGATGAAGGATTTTCTATTACCAATTGGATGATAAATTGTAACTACTGAAAACCTGAATCACTTATATGAGCTTATTATTATTATTGTCTATTCCTCTCCTTTTGGCAATTCCTGTTAAATTTAATTCTGTTTGTTGCTATGTTAATCCTAAATATTTCTCTCTGGGCAGTTTAGAATTTGGTTTCAAAATATCCTTATCTTTACAGCAAAAGAAGTTTTATTATTAATTTTAACTTACAAGTTGGTGTAAAATTTAATGCATCAGGTGTTGATGTCAGGAAAAATGTCATTGTCACTATCTCTTCGGACAAAGGTCTTTGTGGCGGAATAAATTCTACAGCTGTGAAAATAAGCAGGGGCCTCCATAAGTTGAATTCTGGTCTGTTTTTAATGTCCCAGCTCCCAAGCTATGTGCTTGTGTTTTCTTCGTCATTACCTCCTCATTTTTTTGCCACAAGGTAATTAATTGGTTTTTTAGTTGTGTTTTGCAGGCCCTGAAAAGGAGTGTACGTATGTCATTCTTGGAGAAAAGGCGAAGGCGCAACTTGTGCGTGACTCGAAAAAAGACATTGAGCTATCTATTACAGAGCTGCAGAAAAATCCTCTGAACTATACACAGGTGGTTACTTAGGCTCATGCCTGGCAAAATGATACAGGATACCTATCCTAATTCCTTAATGATTCTAGGAGAAAAAATGTTTTAGAAATATTGATGGTTTTGTTCCATCTAAGCTTCTTGAGTTTAAATCGTAGTTGCGCAGGAATATATCCAAACGGTTAGTTTTCTTCCAGAATAATCCGTAGCAGTTTTTCAAAAGTTTTATTAGATGTTCCATTGCAGGTTGCTGCACTTGCAAATGATATCTTAAAGAATGTCGAGTATGATGCATTAAGGATAGTGTATAACAAGTTCCATTCTGTTGTATCATTCGTGCCTACAACATCTACTGTATTATCTCCTGAGGTTGGTGACCGTCTGACCTTTTATTGGCCTGCGTTTTGGAATGTACGAGCTTTTGTATGATACTAATGGATATGACGCTGATGTAGGTTGTAGAGAGAGAAGCTGAGGCTGGTGGAAAACTCAGCGAACTGGATAGCTATGAAATTGAAGGTGGTGAATCTAAGTCAGAAGTGCTTCAGAATCTCTCCGAGTTTCAGTTTTCTTGTGTAGGTTTTTTACCTCCTCTCTCTCTCTCTCTCTCTCTCTCTCTACATATATATATTTCCTATAAAGTATAAATTGAAAAGGTTTGGGTAATGTTTTTGGGGCAGATGATGTTCAATGCTGTACTAGAAAACGCATGCAGTGAGCAGGGTGCTCGGATGTCTGCCATGGATAGCTCGAGCAGGAATGCCGGTGATATGCTTGATCGTCTCACTCTCACTTATAACAGGTTTCGTCTTTTTCTCTCTCTAAAACCATTACCTATTTTCTCTCTCTTTCTCATACTCACACATAGGGCTGCAAACGAGCTGAGCAGAGTCGAGTATTAGCCGTATCGATTAAGATTGATTTTTTTTTTTTTACCTCGATTTATGACACTCAAGATCGACTCGACAAAATAAGACAATCTCTCTAGCTCCTCTCGAGATCGATTGAAATCAAAATGCTCGAAAGATTGCTCGAGCTCGGCTCGAATTCGATTCAAATTTCAAATAAAATTACCAAAATATTGTAATATTTATATATAAGGGGTATTTTAGTAATTCACTACATACTCGAGCCGCTTGACCTTCCAAATCCTATGCTCAAGATCAACTCGATAACATGCTCGAGCCGAGCTTTGACTTGAGCGCTCGTGAGCCGTTCGGTTCGTTTGCAGCCCTACTCACACAAACATGGGCTCTAATTTGTGTGCATGTTTTTATTTACTTTTCTGTTAATTGTTATTATGATCAATAATAATTTACCGTATGGCTTGGTTTTTACTTGGTGCTTGCTTCTCAGAACTCGTCAAGCATCCATCACGACTGAACTCATTGAGATCATATCTGGAGCATCAGCATTGGAGGGCTAATCAAAACAATGCTTGTGCCAAATTTTCTTTATCTTGTTAAGATGTTCGCGAAATAAAAGCAGTCACGAATATTTGTACTTTCTTTTTGGACACCTAATAGATCCTTTTTCTGATTTTTACCTTATTCGGTAATACTCAGTTGGGCGATTTCATTGAAAGGAATCACCTTGATAGTGTTTTCTGCATTTTTTTCGTACATTTTATTCAACATCAAAACTCGGGTGTTTGTGAGCTCAATAGAATTGATGCACGTTTTGCTTTCTCAAAACTTTACATGCATAATTACTGTTTTCTCTTTAATATGCATGTTATGTCTGCTGCCAAAGAAGATAGATTGATCGATACCCTTTGATGTTGGTTATGAAAAGTGTTGTCTTGTGCTATCTCAATTAGAGGTTGAATTTTGTGAGTTTGTCTTGTAAAATGCAACATTCCTAAATAGTTTTTCTTAGCTATGATAATCTATTTAGGAATGTTGAATTCTACTTTAAAATATAGAGTTTGAAATGAATGAAAACACTTTCATTATATATTTTTAGTGTGAAATTCATTCACTTACTTTGGCTACTTCCTTTGGTTACAGAATATGTCAAACATCTCTTTGTGCATTAACTATCATTTTGCCATGTCTCAAGAACTTTGAGACAAAGGTGAACCAAAAACAAAAAACCATGAACATTGTTTTNAACTTACTTCAATTCTATACAATTCTATTCTATTATTAAATAGGGAGAGAGAGAAGTGAAGAAAATATATATATATTTTAGAAAGATACAAAATATTCTGTGAGACGATCTGATTTTAATAGATTGATCTTTTATATTTTTTTTAACAAAAAGTATAATTGAACTTTTATATTTCTTAACAAAAATGTATAACAAACCATCAAATATTATACTTTTATAGTACAAAAAGAAAATATTCTACTTTTATCTTTTTCACAGTATAAAATTTAGTTAAAAATAGTTATATATGTTAAAAAATCCAACCGTCTCACTGCAAATAAAATTTTGAGATTAAGGAGGGAGAAAGAAGAAAAAAGTCAAAAACGAATGAAAAATAAAATTACATTGGTATCGTCACACATTGTAGACTTCACCAGCCAATGAGCCAAATACAAAGCTGTTTTTATCTTTTCACATAAAACCCCACACGTCGTGTTGGCCAATCCTCCCCTTATCGAAAAATTGTACCTTTAATCATGGCCCCTCACAAATAAGCTGCTCATTTGGTCAGGTGGGTTTTGGTGGGAAAAATAAGGGTTCTTTTTTTCTGGATGATATTTGGTTAGTTCACACATCATTTCAAATCGATCCGATTATTGAAATTGGTGAAAAGAAGATAAGGAAAATTGGCCCTGCGCAGATGCATTCAGGCAAGTAAGTTCGCATTAGGTTTTTGTTGTTGCCTTCTGTTGTTTCGAGGTTGCGTCTCATGTGAGAGCCCCAAAGAATTTGACCGAGTCAGCATGTGACGAAAGAAGTGATGATTTTGTAGGCATTGGAGTCAGACTGGTTGTTTGAAGCTTGAAATAATTGGCAGTTTGATCCTCTTTCGTAATTTGTTGCAATTTTTTCCTACGAAATTATTGGGTAGTTGACATTTGACAAACGAGTTGTTACTATACGAGTTTCTGCTCGCCTTTTGAGCTGAATAGTTTGTATGTTGATTAGTTTTCCACGATTGCGATTATTCGAATCTTCTTAGTTGCTCAGAAGAATTTTGCTCGATATGGCTTTGTAGGGATATTGGTGATGAGCAATTGAAAAGCTTAGTTTTTCTTTTTTACAAGTGGTTCATGGATGTTTGGATTATAGCTGCTGCTGCTGGTGCAGGATATGTAGCTAAGCGTTTCAAGAAATTGAATATGGGTAAGTGTACTAATATCTCAGATTCGTCATCCGAGAATCTTGAAATTGCAACCAAGTCCCTAGAAACTGTGAATAGGGTGCAGGATAATATTGCAGAAGATATAAGTAAACCAATAGAACGGGCTTTTCCATGTGCTTCTGCTGTAGAAATGGCTCCTACTAGTGGATACCAAACTGAAAATTTCATAATATCTGATTCAAATTCTTTACCGGGCCCTTCAAACAATGGAGACTTTGCAGCGAATCAGGAAGTTTGGTTACATTCTGTCATGAATGAAGATATTTCTGGCAAGTCGAGCGAAGTTGGATTTTCTTATGACTTTAGACGAAATAGAAGTAGCCTTAGGAGTAGACACGTTAACAATAGATGTATAAAACACCGGACTTCGCTAGAGAGTTGTCTTATGGCTCAGTTGTGCAACGAACATGCCAAAATGGAAGAATATACTTACTCGACTTATATGCCGTGTGAACCAATGCTGAGGCCGTTCATTGTGACTGATGGAAACCGAATAATCAGCCGAGCATTTAATGAATCTTGCAGTAAAGAACTTGAAGCAGGGAATTATAAGTTAGGAAAAGATAACAACCCAAATTGTGATCCAAGATTACAGAATGATGTGCAGGTGGAGTTATTGGTGCGGGATAAAGGAAAACCTGTAAAGACGGTGAAAAAACAGCAGGGTAATGCACAAGGTAGTTCTATGGCATTTAATTGCTTTCCATTTTCGAATATTTTGTCTGCACTTGTTTTGTTTACCGTTAACCATATCGTAAAGTCCGTATTTCTTAGGTATTAAGATCCAATGCCGTATTTGTTTGTTCCTGATTGCAATAACAGCTACTAGTCTATGTGACCTCATTAAGAAGATTGATTCTGCTCAGGACTTATTAAATTACTCGCATTTATTTTTTCCGGCAACATGACAATATTGTTGGAGATAATAGTTTTTGAAGTGTTGATCCGTGGGGGTGAGGGGTCAAATTTAACTGAAAATCATGTTTACAATATAAGCTACCATATTTGAAAAACTTAAAACAAATTGTGAAACATAAATTGAGTCAAGCCATTGGTGTAAATAATAGGAGCTAAGCTGGTAGTTGGAAAAATTAGCCTGTAGGAAAATGAAGAATACCCTTTTTCCATTTGGGATGATGAACAAATAAACAAATATACAGGGATAGAAATTGTCATATTAACATGCTAAAATCTGTGGGAATATTGAAAGAATTAAAAAATTAGAAAGCCATGAAGAAGATGAACTTAATCAAGAGTTTTCTAAAAGGATTACTTGCATGAAGAAGATGAACTTAATCAAGAATTTTCTAAAAGGATTACTTGCATGAATTTCCCTTGTTTTTACATTAGTTCAGAAAACTTGAATTTAAATAGTTAATGATCAGCAATGATTATGCCATTAAGTCTTAACCTCTGATATTCTCCCCTTGTCAGGATCATCGTCAGATGGTGCTCTTCTTTTCTATCTCGGGCTGACTATGGGCATCACATATTCTTCATTACAGCAAAAAAGGGAAATCGAGAAGTTGAGGAATTCATTGAAGCAGACAGAGGATCTCGTTGAAGATCTTCAGGAGGAGCTTGAAATGAAGGATGCATCAACCTTGAAGGAGCTTACTGTAGAGGATCACGAATCGCTAGACGTGCGAAATTATTCTTACTTTAATGATCCTATGCAATCCGCGTCACCTGAACAGAAATTGGATTGTTCTCCAAATAACTTTAATGAAGATTATCGTGATCGGGATTCTGAGGAAGAATCTTTGAGGAAAATTGAAGCTGAGCTGGAAGCAGAATTGGACAGGTTGGCGTCAAATATGAAGTCGTGCAGCTTGGAAGGGAAATTATTGAATGCAGCTGAGGTTAGCCTATTTATTCTGCTTCTTATGCTTGTTTTATGTGGTAAGGTTCATTTATAATTGCATTGTGCTTTACCATGTTGTGTGCATTTTCTGATAATCTTTTTTACTTCAAATATTCATGTTGCAGATTGTTGAAATTCCAATCAATTATATTATATATTAAACAAAAATAGTGGTCGGAACTTCTTTTTTGCTTGTTATGTAGCTAGATAAGTTTTACTTGCTTCAGTGGGAACCTACATGTCATCTTTTTTTCACGTCTGTTAAAACATATACCCGTATATGTCCAAATTTTTGTATGTTGGGTCAAACTGTATATATGAAGTTTCGCTTTATTTCTGCACGGATTTATTTTAAGTTTCACATGTCGATGAGATTGAAATATTGACTGGAGATTGAATTTCTTCTATCTGGCTACCAGCTGGGTTTTTTCATGTTTGCAACTTGGTTTTATTTTTATGTAAGTATGGACATTTTTTTTTTTACTGTTTTCCTATTGACAAATGCAACGGCTAAAAGAGGAAGACAATCTTGAAATTTGGTGTGGCTGGTGATAGATAATCTTGCTAGTAAATAGAGTATTTTGATTTTCCCATGTGGGCCAAACCTTTAGTTTTGATCAATGCCACAAAAATGGAATGAATGAACATCCGATTTCTCTTTAACTGCTTTTCAATTGACAAATGCAACTTCTCAAAGAAGAAGATAATCTTGAAATTGGTGTAGCTAGTGTAGCTAGTGATAATCTTGCTAGCAAATAAGAGTGTTTTGATTTTCCCATGTGGGACATAATTTAGGGTCGATCAATCCCAGAAAAGGGGAGTAATGAACAAATCCCATTTTACTCAAAAACATAAAATTTCTACAACCCCGATATTGTTTCATTCAAATTTACAGTTTACACCCACCGTAAATTGCAGCAGCTCGACTCAGATCTTCGACCAGAGTTATTCGGAGCTAATGCTGCTCAGAACTCGACCAGCGGCTGCTCTTCCCCCACTGCCACCACTCCTCACTCAGTCCACTATCCAGTTTCTCCTCGAGACCTTAGCCTTCGCTTACATCAAGTCATCCAATCAAGACTTGAAGAGCGCGTAAAAGAACTCGAGACAGCCCTCGAGCAAAGCCAGAAAATAATCAATCGGCAATCCAAGAACAATAACCCATGTGAAAGTGAAAGCTCGTTTTCTTCAGCAGAAATATTACGGCATCTGGACCAGCCTGTGGTAATAAATCTTTCAGGGGAGGCTCTAAGCGCGTACAACGAGGCGTACGATGAGCTGGCGAAGCTGTCTGAATCGGACAATGCCAGCTTGGACAATTATGCAGAGCTGTCGAACGATGGGAGTGAAGATGAGATGGAGAGGCTGTTGATAAGGCAGATTGTGGAGAAGGCGAGGCAAGGCTCGCCTGCGGTTTTGAAGGCGCAAAGGGATTTGTTTTGCGGTTGAATTGAGTGATGAATGTTTGTGAATGGGATTTTTTAAATTGAAAAACTATAGTTTGCAACTTCCAAATGGTCTGAAGCTAAAATATATGCCGAATATAACAAAATGATAAAATTTGATGGATGCTTTTGAGCTCATTTATGCAACGATAAACACAGTAATGCTAAGGAGCCAACAGTTGACTCCGTTATGGAGCCAACATCCAATAATATAGCTCCATGTGGAGCTGTTCCACATGGTTTAATGTGGGACATCCCCACATGGAGCTATCCCATTGGATGTTGGCTCCATAACAGAGCCAACTGTTGGCTCCTTAGCATTCTTGACGATAAACAGTACCGATAATCATATCGGTTTAGCCAGCGCCCGTCTACAATTCTTAATTTTTTTCCCCAAATATACTTATAATAAGTGTTTTAGTTTCAAACTGATTGAAGGTTGCAACCTTTTCTTTGAGAAATATGAAATGTTATTTGCTATGCAATTTAGTTTAGATTGCAAGCTGTAATTTTTCAAGCAATATTTGTTGTAATTTGTTAAAAATTTTAGTATAAGTAGCATAATGACCTTTTTTTTTCTCTAAATCATATATGTTAGTATCTATTTGTCATTGTTGCTAATTATTTTTACTCCAAAAATATAAAAAATAATAATAATAATAAAAATAGAAATTGCAAAAAAAAAAAATAATAATAAAAATAGAAATTGCAACTTATATATTTTTTCTCTAAATCATGCATGTACTTATTCAGTTATTTGTCATTTTTATTCATTGTTTTACTCCAAAAATATAAATAAATAAATATTGAAAAAGATAAATACTCCATATATACTCCATAATTCAACTCTTTCATTTCATCACACTCGAGTATTCAACTGTACTCGGCATGATGATAAAAATGGAAGCCGTCGTCCTCAAGCTCCCCCCTTCTGTACGAATTTTCAAGCCCAATCCGAATCGTACCAACCGTACGCTCCGCACCGTAGCCTCCGCCTCGGCCGCGGCCCCCTTATCCGCCGATCTGCAGCTCGGACCCGGGTCGCTCGGTCATCTCACCCGACCCGATTTCCCCATTCTCCGCCAGGCACACCCGTTTTGCTTCCCCTTTGATTTTTGCACTATTTTCCAATTTAATTGGTGAAGGCCACAAACGATTTGAGGAAATAAATCTCTCCTCTAAAAAAAAAAAATTGATCTTTTTTTTATGCAGGAGTTAAATGGGAAAAGGATCGTGTATTTGGATAACGCCGCCACGTCTCAGAAGCCGGAAGCTGTGTTGAACTCTCTGCAGAACTATTATGAAACTTACAATTCGAACGTTCATCGTGGGATTCACTATTTGAGGTAGTTTGGTGAGGGGTTGGTGTTTAGGCAGACAAAAAAATGGAGTCTTTTGTGTTTTATTGATTTTGCTGTGTTATGTTTGTATAGCGCAAAGGCGACTGAAGAATACGAATTAGCAAGGCTGAAGGTGGCGAATTTCGTGAATGCGACTGAGTGTGGAGAGATTGTGTTTACAAGAAATGCTACTGAGGCCATAAACTTGGTGGCTTACAGTTGGGGCCTATCGAATTTGAAGAAGGGAGATGAGGTAAATGGGCTTGGTTAATCTGGGAAAATTCTGTTTCGAGTGAGAAAATTGATGGGTTTTGAATTGAAGTTGAATTCGGTAGTGTGACTTGGAGTTTTGAGTAATCAGTTATTACCTAAAAAAAGAATACTGTCGTTGTTAGTTAATTATAATTTTTCTCGATACAGTTCTATAGCACCTCTATCTAGCTTATTTCTAGCTGTTGATTGAGATTTGAGATAGATGTAGGAAATATCCCTGTATTTGAGTTGTCTTCTTTCTTATATTTCTATTAAGTTTTTGTTCTGTTTATAATTCTGTAAACATCGTATTATATTGTTTGTATGAATCTCTGTGAGATTAGCTAAAATGTGCTTAATTTGTGATTCTCAGGTCATACTTACAGTAGCCGAACATCACAGTGCCATTGTTCCTTGGCAAATTGTAGCTCAAAGGACAGGTGCAGTTTTAAAGTTTGTAAGTTTAACAGAAGAAGAAGTTCCAGACATAGAGAAGTTGAGAGAAACAATCTCAAGTCGGACAAAACTTATTGTTGTTCACCACGTCTCGAATGTACTTGGTGAGTCAAAAGGTACCATTTCAAGAAGACTAACCATGGGATAGAACTATAGCTTAAGTGCCTTAATGAAACTTGCTTTAGCATCTACGGTTCAGATTTCCTTTGTTCATCTTGTTGAGAGAAATGAACCACCTTTTCACTTCCGTTTTAGTTTCTTTCCATGTCATTTTGTTGTGCATTAGTCTTTCAATGTTGATTAGGATTTTGTGGTTAGCTTGTTAGTGGTGGTATTCTGTAGAGTAAAATATGAGCATGTTATACATACAAGTAAATGAAATTAGCAACACAAAGTGGTCAATGTGTATACTCGACAAAAATAAATGTCTGAGGTATCTATGGTGTGGTGTGTTTTCAGGTGAGGACTTTCTGATATAAAAAATGAACTGGGAAAAACACCTTAACTACTCTTTCTTCAGGTTCAACCTCATCGTTCCTGATGATTTTAGTTTCATTTCCACAATTAATGTTCTAATACGAGCACACAGGTGGTAAAAAGCATTAATTTAATTTATTTTTGTTTCTATTAACTTCCTAATCCTGGTTTTGCTTTCATTCTCTGACTTTCTATGTCTCATTTTGCATCATTTTTTTCTCTTTGGATTGGATCAAACATTTTATCCCTCGAAAATGGTAAACGGATTGGTATCACTCGCATATTGCTAAATGTTATAAATACGTATTCAAGATTATCCTAACAAATTGTTCTTAACTCTTGGCTATTAGAACTTGTATTTTATTAAGAGGCGATCTGAAAAATCTTATGCAAGCCCGCATCTTTTCCTTCTCTTCCCCTGCAGCTTCTGTTCTTCCAATCGAACAAATTGTAAGTTGGGCACATGAAATTGGCTCGAAAGTGCTTGTCGATGCTTGTCAAAGTGTTCCTCATATGGTGGTTGATGTGAAGAGACTTGATGCTGATTTCCTTGTTGCTTCTTCCCATAAGGTGAAGACATTTTTCTGTTATGCTTTTAACACTCGAGTAATGGTAAGTGAGAATTTGAAGTGAAGAAAATAATCATATGCTTCAGATGTGTGGGCCTACAGGCATCGGTTTTTTATACGGTAAAAGTGAGCTCTTATCTGCCATGCCTCCTTTCTTGGGTGAGAACGAGATTTCTTCGTTTACCATTTTTTATTTTGTTTTGTTTTAGTCTTTCGTTTTATTACGTTTGAATGTGAAAGAATTATGGTAATCACACTTTGAATTCTTATTTAAAAAAGAAAAAGAAATCCTTCACTGCATGTTATAGGACGAACTTCTAAAATGATTATGGAATTATTCTCAGGTGGTGGTGAAATGATATCCGAAGTTTTTTTGGAACACTCAACCTATGCAGAACCTCCGTCAAGGTGATGTCATGACTCGATTAATCGGCTGTGAAGAGTATTTATTTTATATGTCTCGTGACTACCTAACATTTATGTACATTTCAAGACTTGCTAACCCTATTAATTATTTATAATCAAATCAAGTCTTTTCCTATATAAGTTTACATGCTTCATGCTTTCACTTCTTCATTTTCTTCTATATTTTGGAGGCCTCATTTAGATGTATTGCTCTGCCATTTATGTTGTTCTTGAATTGTGAATACTTCGTAATGATCATAGATTTGAAGCTGGAACACCTGCTATTGGAGAAGCCATTGGATTGGGGGCAACGATTGATTATTTATTAGGCATTGGAATGGAAAAAATTCATGCTTATGAGGTAAATTTTGATCCCAAATTCTCATTGTTTTACTTTACATCTCAGTAATTGAGTTATTTGGATGTTCTCTTGCCAAACATTCTTATAATTTGCTCTGGGTTTATTAAGTAAATGCAATCAAGAAAACTGAGCTTATATTTTCAGTTTTTTACTCTCAGAGTTCTATTGTTCTATTCAAGTATATTTGCTTCGAGATGAAAATCAAACGAGCTTATTATTATTATTATTATTATTATTATTATTATTATTATGATTTCCTTTTCGTTCGATTGCCTTTCCAGATTGAGCTAGCAAACTACTTATACAGTAGACTCGATTCACTACCCGGAGTTCGTGTCTATGGCCCACCGCCTTCAAAAACAGTGAAAAGAGCTGCTCTTTGTTCGTTCAATGTGGAAAACATTCATCCAACAGATATAGCAACTTTTCTCGATCAACAGGTACTCATCGAAGCTCACTTTTTTTCTTTAGGGAAAAAAAAAAAGTATCGTTCAATAAAAAGGAATGAAATTTGTCATCGACAATGTTTGCAAGAATCGACTAATCGTGAAATGTTTTATCGTTTAGCTTCATTTTTTTTTTCTTTCCCTTTCGGCAGCATAGTGTGGCGATTAGGTCCGGCCATCATTGTGCTCAGCCCCTTCACCGTTATTTGGGAGTGAACTCGAGTGCTCGGGTGAGCCTTTATTTTTACAACACGAAAGAGGATGTCGATTATTTCGTTAAAGCTCTCGAGGACACTATCGACTTTTTCGGGTCTTTTAAGTGAGTGAGTGTGTGAAAGGCTTTGAGTTTTTGTTTCTTTTTTTCTTTCTTTTTACTCAATTTTAGTCGTTACATTTTCTTCTATCTATCATCATTTTTTTCAACTTATATTTTTAAATCAAATCAATTGTGACTAATACACTTATTTTTTTTTATCTTAATCATACTTCTCAAATTATTTATCTTCTTCCCATTATTTTTTTTTCTCTATAATGGAGATAATATGCCAAAAGTGAAAATTTTCATTAAGTACTATTTCATGCTATTTGAATCAAGATTATCGTGTAACTCGTGCTTGTTTGGTCTGCAATTTGGATGTACAGTTCCTTT